TCAACTTCGTAGTTGGCTTCTATTGCTGAGCATATGCTGGTTTAGCAGCAGTTTAATGATGGACAATGTATTTAATGTGGCTTCCTTGTAAATATATGACAAGAAGCCCTTTTTACCCCTGCTGATTAGGGGGGGAAATCTTACCTTATCTTTGAGTAAATACAGTGTGTGTGTGTGTGTGTGTGTGTGGGAAATCTTACCTTATCTTTGAGTAAATACAGTGTGTGTATGTGTGTGTGTGTGTGTGTGTGTGTGTGTGTGTGTACACTGAACCAGATAAATGAAGGTCACTTGTACTACAGTATCAAGGTATTTATACTAGACTAATCACTGGGGTATCCAATACTAGGGCTGTGCAAAATGGCAATGTTTCATTTCGATTTCAGATTCGCTGTTTTGAAGGAACGGTGTTCCGTTTCACTGTTTCGAAGCACTATTCCGTTTCGTTTTGCCAAAACTGTTTTGCTGTTTTGATGCATTTTGGCATTTCGCCCATAAGCTATAATAGGGAATCACAAAAATCCCTATAACTTTGTTATTTCTTGCCTGATTTGGATGAAAACAGCAGGGATGCTAGCCCCTTCTGAGGCCATGAAGCCTGCCAGCTTTCAAGGAGATAGGTGCAGGGGGGTTCTGGGAAACTACACTTTGTCACGGAGTAAGGTCCCTAGTGATGGCTGTGATACCTCTAGGGTCATGTGACCATGCCAGCTCCGCCCTTCTCTTCTAACCTGCCACCACATCTTGTTGGAAAAGGTAATAGATAGGGAGGCTGCCCTTGAGCTTTGTCTTAGTCACAGTCCTAATGTCCTAATGGCCTCAGCCCAGTCCACCACTTTCAATAACAACAGGTAAGCAGCGCACTAACACTAGCATCTCAGGCAGCCAAACTGTTACAGAGGCTTTCTTTCCTTTCCTCCAGCAGCTGCCAGAGAATTCTCCCTGCCAGCCCCAGCCCTGGGGCTTAGATGTGCCCAGGGCCCTGCCTCCTTCCGGTCAGCTGACCAGGGACAGGTGCTAGGGGTTAAGGTTGTATCTGTGTTGGTCTAAGGATATGGCACTGGTACACAAGGTTCTTTGGGTCAATCTGATATTTTTTTGTAGACTAATGGAATAGTTAGAGAAATATATCTTAGCAAGCTTTTGGGTTGAAAACACTTATTCAGGCTGAGGAAGCACCTGCAGTTGGTGTGTGTGCTCTTCCTAGATGGAACAAACAGTAAAGAAGCCAGAGGCTGGCATGCAATGCAGGCAAGAAAGGCAGTCAGTAAAAATGGAAAAGGAGGCATCAGAGGGTGAGGGACAGGTTGGGGTAGCGGGGAAGGGGGATGTAGCAGGTAAAAGTGGAGAGGTAGCTGGGGAGTCAGATGTTTGGCAGGTTGTAGTGTGTCATAATTTCAATGTCTGTATTGAGTCCGTGAGTTTCTGTACCTACAAGGTTGATCAAGAGCAGTTCATAGGCTCATCTCCAAAAAGTGGTTTGTAAATTCAAACAAGCACTGAACCTCACTAATCTCATCACCAGAAGCCAACTTCCTGCAGCCCAAAGCACACCTAATGGATCTAAACCATGCCATGACGAGACATGCAAAACCTGCCAAGAATATCTCCAGTACGGAGATAACTTCACAATACATGTCTCCCTCAGGGCAACAAATGCTTTAATGGAAAATACGAAGGTACCAAGCAACAACTGTGTACCAGAATGAGCACGCACCAAATATCTATCAAAGATGAGAACACCTAGCTCCCTGTCTCCAATCTCTCAAGCCTGATCCTTGAAAGGAATTTACAAACCACTTTTCACAGTGGTTTTCACACTTTTACAAACTGCTGGCAGTCCCACCAGGCCTCCCAACCCTGGCAGGGTGCAGTTTTAGGTCATGCCCAGGACCCAGGGCCTCTTCCTTCCCCATATCCCCATTCCATACCTCGAAGTTTGTCCTGGCATGGGAGCTCAGCAGGGACATGTTCATCCCATGCTGGCTGGTGATTCAGCGAGTGCCGCCTCTAGCTCTGAGAGTGGGGCATTAAATCATTTGGAAACCAGAAACCAAAAGAAAATGCATGTGGACAGAGTGAAGAGGGTGGCAGTCACTCCATCTGCAGGTGGAGCTTGGGGAACTCCAGCAGTAGGAAGTTCACCTTCAGGAATATCGCCTGCTCCACCAAACCAGGATCCAAAGAGGTGCGGTGGGATGTCACAACATCCCCAGCAATGCTGAACACCCACTCGCTTGGAATACTGGTTGGTGGACAGGTTAGGTGTTCCCAGGCAACTGTGGCCCGATCCAGCTACATCTGGCTGCGGTTTGCCCAGTAGGCCAAGGGGTCACACAGCAGAGAGAGGCAGCCACCAAGGCCTGAGCACTGCCTGCCTGATGGTGGGGTCTGGTGATTCTGGACCATAGAAGCCATGCCCTTGGCCCACATTGGCAGCACCTTTAGTGGAGGAGGAGACTGGATGGTGGATGGCATGTTGGCACAAGAAAATGGATTCCCTTCTTCCATGTCCCATCACCTGTGCTCTTCTCTGTTCACCAGGACCACCATCCAGTGATCCAGGGTTTTGCTGCTGCATATGCTCCCCTCCACCCTTGTGTCACACATAGCCACCAGCATGTGGACTATACTGGACCGCAACAGATCTAGCCATTTCTTGATGTCCTCCTTCAGCCGCTTCACTAGTGCCTGCACCTCTGGTGACAGCAGCTTGCCCCAGCCAAGAACATTGATCCCCTGGAACTTCTGCATTTCGTTTTCAAGTTCCGTCACTACAGGGATCACCTGGCTCAGGAGGGCAACAGCCCTGTTCCCCTGCCAGGTGTCCCTCACTATGAGGTGCAGCCATTGTCAGTGACTATGAACCCGTGGGTTAGCTCGCCCTGCCCAATGAGCCACCCCTGCATCATGCAGTTCATGGCCTCCATGATCTTTGTTGCCATGTGGAACTTATCCATCACCTCAGCTTGAAGGAAAGCCCACCAATGACCTGACTGGTTATACCAGTGCCCTATGAGGGAGAGGTAGGCATGATCTTCACCCTGGCTGCTCCAGATGTCCAAGGTAAAATGTAAGGCCACCTGTGGACCTGCCTTGCACAGATCCTCCCTGAAGTACTCCCTGCATGCCTCATACAGGGAGGGCACCAGCATCCTGCTGAAGGTGGCACATGTGGGCACTTTGTGGGGCCACAAGTGCCATGAGCCACCTGAACCCTGACCGCTCAACTAAGGAGAAGGGCTGGCCATCGACAGCCAGCACCTCCCTAATGCTCTGGGTGACATCGCTCACCTTGGGAACCTTCCCCCCCACCCCCACCCCATGTGCCCACGTTTCCTCCACTGTTCCAGGGTGGCTTGCCTCTGCTTTGGGGGGATGATTCCCCCTCCTTGGGCTCTGGAGAGAGAGCGGGGACTTCTTTTTGAGCACACTGCCATTGGTGTCAGGCTGAGGAGGGGCAAGGGCATGGTGCCTGCAGAGATGCTCATGATGCTCATGCTTTTCGCTCCCTTGCCCCAGATGGTTTTGGCTTGTCAGTGCAGGCAGGTAGCATATGTGGAGTTATCTGCCAGCTCAAAATGATCCCAGACTACACTACCCACTCACTTCTAGGGTGTGGGTGCACTTCTAGGGTGTGCAGATGTTGCCTTTTCCTCCTCCTCAGCAGGCAGAGGCACAGCAACAGGAGGAGCAGACTCAACTGAGCCACTTGCCTCCACAACCTCTACCTCAGCTTCCTCCAAAGGGCCTTTTGGGGAAGGAGACCTGGCTGTAGGGGAAACTTGGGGGGTGTGGAGCACAAACTCAAATGATTCCCCCTCCTTCCTCAGAATTTCCCTTGCTGTGACCCTCAGATCCCGATCCAGCTCCAGTTCCTCCTCTGGCACTGGAAGGATCAGCTTGGGAATTGAAATTGGGGTGAAGGAGATTGGGGTGCTGGTGCTGATTGTTGTTATGATGGTGGTGCTTGGGGTTGTTGTTATTATGGCAGGTGTTATTGGAGGGAATGCGGACACTGCTCCCATCTCCTTGGTGCCACTAGCAGCAGAAGTGGCATGGCTGCTAGTTGTTGGAAAGAGGCTGCGTTTAAGTTTTGGGGTGGAAGGGAACTTAGAGCTCTCCCTCTGTCCCCTCTTCCACCCCAGCCAGAAGAGTGGCCACCTGCTTTTTCAGCACACTACATGTTTGGTGTGCTGGAAAATCTGTGTGTTTCTGTAATATAATGTATGTATTTATGTAATATATGTTGTGCTTTCCTGAACAGTCAATGCAGACTGCCAGGGAAAAAATAGATTTATTTTATGTGGCAAAAGAATTACAGAGAATAACAAAAACAAAAAGATGATTTAAGGGGGAGGAATAAATTGAAAGGAACAGATTAGGAAAGGGTATTGGGGTATTTTGGAAAGAATTGGATCACATTTGCTAAGAACAGACTAGCAAGTAGGAAGTGAGAGCCTTCCTGATGCTCCTGATGGTGCTGGAGGACACAGCTCAGTAAACTGACAAAGACACAGCTGACAGCTCATTTCAAGCAATGCTTTTATGCTCCTTCTCCATTCCTCCCCCAGTGCGCTGGGATTGGAAGGGACATCAGGGAAGGATCGCAGTCAGTGTCCAGCAACACATGTCAATATCAGAGCAGTTCTTTCCCCCTCCTCTCCTTAGTTTGTATTTCCCTGCAAGCCCAGCTTCGAAACTCAGAACTGTTCAAAATTTTCAAAACATTTCACGTGCCCTCATTTCGCTTCGAAGCTGTTTCAAAGCTTTGCATTTCGATTTGGTTTCGGTGTTTCAAGCTTGAAACGTGTCAAAACACCTTCGAAACGGAATGTCCATCGAAATTTTGCACAGCCCTAGTATCCAAGTGTTGCTCTGAAAAATATGTAATATCCCTGATCCTTTGCATGCTTTAAATTTGTCTGTTACTTGAAATTAAAGTTGTTTTTCGTTTGTTTTTGTTGGTTTTTTTTGTTGTTAATTTTATAGAAATTTAAAGTTCAAGTTGTCAGCTTCCTTTGGAGTCATACTCAGAACAAGGTAAATGAAGGATCGGAAAATGTTAGAACGTTCAGTTTTATATGTTAAAGATACTTTCCTCTCCCTCTGAAAATATTACTGTCAGTGTCAGGTACCTATTTTCTGATATATTTTCTTTCCTCTCCATCCTACTGACTGACTCTTTCCCCCCCCACCCCTCCACTGACTGAGCTTGGTGCCTGTTAGGGGTGTGAGATTCAGAACCTTATATATCTTTTCTGCTCCTCATCAGCACAAGAATATAGTGCAGACAAGTACAGCTCAAGGTAACAGAAGTATCTTCAGTGTAGACCAAGATATGGCCTGCAGGCTGGATTCTGTCCATGGGGCCACATCACCTGGCCCACAAGGCTTACCACAGATCTGGAGATTTGGTGGTGGCAGTGTTAATTATCACAATATCCATGGCACTCTGTACAGTGAGAGGATGGGTCAGTTTTCATTAATTTTACGCTTTGCAGCTGAGGATGCCTATATGGATGTTAGTTTTGATAGTGGATCTTCCCCAGTTGTACGTTACTTTCTAAAGAAAATAATTAGGGCTTTGCTTCCTGGAAGATTTCATTACACATTAAAAAAGAAAGTCACAGAAGAATTTGACACTCAGCTGCTAGTGGATAGTCTCATTTGGCATTATTGGATAGCCAGAGTGTCCCATTTTGCAGCTAATGTTTGCTTTGCTTTTGATATTATTGTCTCCTAGGATCCTGTTGTAGCAATTTCAGCATATAAATCTCTGTCTGAATTTGGTTCTGAGGAACACACCATCCTTCATCTTCCTGAACAGGTATGTAACAGGGGACCAAAGCCCTGTTATGGAGAAAGGGCTGATGGGCAGGAGAAGATGACATGGCACCTTTTTAAGAGCAGAACTTTTGTGGCCCAGAGGGGTAAGGACTTGAACAGGGGAAGTTCTGCTAAAGAGCACAGTAAGAGGCCTTAGCCCTGGACCCTATAGAGAAAAGAACCCTGATCAGGGGAAGAAGAAAACCATGGCAGATGTACTCCAACAAACTGCTTCGTCAGATGCTGCACTGAAATTGAGCTCTGGGCTAAAACTGAGTTCCAGACTGTTAACTGATGCAGGAGCTGTAAATGGTCCAGGCCTATCTTTGGCAGAGATGGCTAGAGGCAAAGATGTTAAAGGGATAATAAAAAAGCCCATGTGTCAGAGCTGCCTATTAGGGCCCAGATGATTGGTGAGGGTGGGGCTGGGCCAGGAAAGCAGGGGCACACTGACCTGGAGTGGCAGGGAGGAAGGAGTTCTATGGCTGAGTGAGTAAGCTCTGGCTCAGAAGAGAAACAGAAGGGACACTATCAGAGGGCAGAGAAGTCTTCCTCCTGCAGTGGGGGAGTGTGCCTAGATGGGTTAAAATTTTGTTGAAAGTTATTTTTGTTCACTCAGCATAATGTATTTTGAGTTAGAGTGTTTGCTAGGAATATACTGAGTTTGACCAGTGGTTTGAAGTGGTTGAGAAGAGTATTTGGAGGCCACACAATAGGATGCCTAGGCACTCTGCAGCTGGAGCCCTGGCAAGGGGCAGGGATGCAAGGAGGGCTGTGGCTGAGGAGCTGAGACTCAAGTTAGTGGGCAAAGTCTGAAGGCTACAACCAGAAGAAGAGGGCTAAGGCTGAGGAGACCTGAAGCCTGGACAGCAGGGCTGGCTTGAGTGGAGTGATTCAAGGAAAGGAAACCAAGTAAAACCTGTGAGGCATGGTGGTGGCTATTGGGAGGCTGAAGGCCACAGTTAATGCCCGTAAGGCCATAATTGGGAAAACGGAGGGGGTGGGGCTAACTTGAGAGGCAATCAGTCTCAGATAAAGGGAAAGTAGTATAGGAGGAAGATGGGACTATGGGCAGATGCTGCTGTCTCCATGGCTGCTCACCCCAGGCAGCAGTAATGGTTCCTGTCCTGGGCCTGGGTTGAGGTCAGGGCCAAGGGTTAGGGCCAGAGCTGCAGGAGCTGGCTGCCCTGGCCTGATACTAAAGTTCAAGTTGAGGCTTTTTTTCCTGATGTTGAATGGCATGGGGGGACCCTTGTCTTGGATTCTAGTAAATACAATAAATACTTCAGAGCAAGAATAGGTGCACCTCCTCAGAAATGAAACAGAAAAGTAAAGGGCTAGACTATGCACAAGGTGGGAAATACTTGCTAGGTAGATAAGATCAACCTGAGGAAAAATGAGCCACATTAGCTCCTAAGAGAGTTAAAGTCCCAACTTCAGTGATGCATAATCAGTCAGAGAGAAGGTAACTGTTATAAATGAATTGATGGCCTGTTTTGGTGAGCATGGGTCATTGATTTATAGCTTCTGAAAGTGTTTGGGAGTGGGTTTTGATTTGTCTGGGAGTAGTTATGGACACCAACTCTGGAGGGTTGTCTCTCAGAGAATGGTCCACTGAACTCGTGCTTAATGTTTCTGTTGGAAAACTAACTTGCCTCTTAGATACCTTATGCTTGTTTTGAATACCAGTGCTATCTTGGGTGCTTCTGTGTTCCTAAATTTGAAGATATATGGTACTTTGCCTCCTTTTTGGTGAAGGCTAGGTAAAAAGAAAGTGATGTTAGTTGTTTGATTCATATATAGAGAACTGTTTCCTCTTAAATTTCTTCCTCAAAAATGTAAATCTGTACCTTTATGGGATGGAAGAATACAGAGCGCCACATCAGGTAATCTCTCTGAGTTATTTTTTTAAATAACCTTGTGAGAGACAGAGTGGACAATAATGGGTAAACACTGCTACATTATGGCCATGCTAAATACTTCTGTATGTTTTGATTTCCTGCAGTATTGCAAAATTGCCTCCATATGGGTGCTACAACTGTGCATTATGAAAATATTTTAAAATATAAATACCTTTAAAATTAAAATCCATACTTTATGGAAACTTACAATGTTTAGTGGAAACTCAGGTATAAACAAAATTTATTTTTTATCTGAAAAGCGAAGAGACTGATTAAGGGTAAACCTCTAACCACTGATACAACAATTAATTGTGTGCTGGCATATAGTGATTATTGAACTTTGTGTACTGCCCTTCACATCAGAAAGAGAATCCATTTGTTTATTTAAAAGTATGATCCACTAAAAACTACTGCAGTCTTCAATGTACCGAAAAGAAGACATTCCTGTGAGCCTTCTCCTTTCAGAAGATGCTTTACAGGTTGAATTCTAATGTAAAATCGATCCTTTCCCTGAGTTGTTACAAAGAAATCAGACTAAGAATCAAATCCAAGACTCGCCAGAATGAAAAGTATTACCATTCTGTTCCTAAATTTATTGATTAGGTTTTACCACAAATGGTAGTTCAGATCCATGAGTCTCAGTACTTTTGCAAATCTGTTCTGCACTTCGGTCTGGTAGAAGACAGTTGTTTACCTTCTCAGCTGAAAGACTAGCTGTTTGAACTAAAAGGTTCTTCATTATTCTGGACCATCAAGTTATATATGGATTTCAAGTGAGATTTATTTCTCCTAGTATTTTATTTATGTTTTTTAATATTCAATGTGTTGGACATCACTTAGGCAAGACCAGAAGTTGATCAGCCAGAAGAGATGGATGTGACTGAAGAGGATGAAGAAAAGGAGGTGGACCTTTCTGTCCCTGGCTCTGCTTATATCAAACTTTTGTCCCTAACACCTTCTGTGATTTTACCAGGTAGTTTACATTTAGTGATGAAACTGCTATATAGTTTTATAACCTAAAGCTGCTTACAGATGTGGAATCCCTCTCACCTTCCCCCCC